AGAAGGACAAAATATATATATATATATATATATATATATATATATAATAATCTAAATAATTAAAAGGGTAAATGGCTTTCTACAATACAATGATATAAAAAGGTCCCAATGTTTTTTGTTGTTGTGTGTCACAATTTTTAGGAAATTCTAAAATACTTATATGAAGTAGTATGCAAAATTTAAGACACGCTGTAAAAAGTGGTAACATGTAATTGTTACATAAAAGAGGTATTTCTACCTAATTTCATGTTTAAAATAGTGTAATAGTGTAATTTGTACTTAAAGGGTTAGTTCACCCAAAAATGAAAATTAGCCCATAAATTACTCACCCTCAAGTCATCCTAGGTGTATGTGACTTTCTTCTTTCAGACGAATCCAGTCCTCTTCATCGCCTACTTTGTGTTCCTCGTGGGCATCACCCGCACAGAGAATAAGGTAAACTGTGGCTTCACATGAGTTCATAGTTCTGGGTTGGTTTGTCTGGTTCTGAAGTGATAATAAACATCCTGAGTGTTCACTTCCTGTCCTTCAGGTGGGCTGTGCAGTCGTTGCAGGCATTCTGCATTACTTCTTCCTGGCTTCCTTCTGCTGGATGTGTCTGGAAGGAGTGCAGCTCTTCCGCATGGTGGTGCTGGTCTTCAACACAACGCTGAGACCCATCTACATGTTTGCCGCTGGTTATGGAGTTCCTGCTGTTATTGTTGCCATTTCAGCCAGAGTGAATGCAAGCGGATATGGTACTGATAACTAGTGAGTTTCAGACATTACTGATATCTTTGCAGACGCTAATCAGAATTTCAGGTTTGTTTGTGATGGTATTAAGATGTTTTTCTTTATTTGTAGCTGTTGGCTCAACATTAAAGATGGCTTCATCTGGAGCTTTTATGGGCCAGTTTGTGTCATAATTACTGTAAGTACCTCTTAACGTGGCACTTTCCACAAATAGATTAGAAAACAGGATCTGAAAGTCAAGGCAATGACAGAAGGCCAAAATATATATATATTGACGACTCCAGTCGGAGTTATATAAAAAATTGTCTTTGATGTTTCAAGCTGTTTCATGGCACTCAGCGGGTGTTGCATGCATCAGTCCAAAAGCACTTAATTAAAATGCGCCCATCCATAAAAAAAAAGGGTCTCACACGGCTGCGGGGGGTGAACAAAGGCCTTCTGTAGCGAATAGTTTGTGTTTTTGTAAGAAAAATATCCATATTCAAAACGTAATAATCACTTTAATGTAGCTTGCGCTCACTGTTGTACACTGAAGCAGTTCCGGGAGGATGACTTATGAGGTCAGCGTTGCGCATGCGCCGCTCAGAAGTGACGCACGTGGAAGCACAGAGGAGAGATCAAAACAAAACAACGGTCACTTATTAGAAGTACAAAACGAGGATTTGTAAAGAAGAATGTCAGAGGATTTCGATATAAGCCAAGAGGAGACTGGTTTTCCTTTGCTAAAGTAAGGAAACTTTGCTTCCTTTGCTCCTGTTAACAAACGTTGGTTTTCACGAGACTCACCAGCGCATGCGCAACGCTGAACTCATACGTCAT